AGAGGAGATCCGGTATAGGAATCTAGTTCTTTGATTGACTTTTTTTATTACATTGGATGCCATTTTGTCACAGGAGAGGTTTGCCTCAAGAATAGATCCTAAGTATGTAATTTCCTTCTTACTTGTGACAATAATGTCACCCACTGCAACTGAGAAGTCGTCGGATTTGCTGAGATTATGTTTCGAACCGAAGAGAATGGACTCTGTTTTACCCAGGTGTAATGATAATTTATTATCGGCGAGCCAGGTGCAGATTCTGCCGAGCTCGGAGCTGAGGGTTTTTTCAACCTGCAACCTGTTCCAGTCAGAGACCAGCAGGGCTGAGTCGTCCGCGAACAGGAACAAGTTGCAGTCACATGCTGATGACATGTCATTTACATAAATTAGGAACAGTAACAGACCTAATATTCTTCCTTGTGGAACACCACAGCTCACTGGGAGGGGGGGGGGACAGAGTACCGTTTACCTCCACCATCTGTTCTCTCCCCTCCAGGTAGGATTGCATCCAGCTCACCGATAGTTTATCAAAACCAATTGCTTTTAGCTTGTCAATCAGAATGGGGTGATTGACAGTGTCGAAAGCCTTTTGTAGGTCCAGCATCACCATGCCGCAGTACTTGCCCTCGTCCACCTCTTGTTTGATGTGGTCGCTCAAATAAAGAAGGCATGTGTCAGTGGAGTGGGATGTTCTAAAGCCAGATTGAAATTCATAGATTAGTTTCTTTTCCGCGAGGTACTTTTCGACCTGTTCATATACTATTTTTTCCATGACTTTCGAGATGGAGGTAAGTATAGAAACAGGGCGGTAGTTGCCTGGGTCCAATTTGCTGCCCTTTTTGTGCAGGGGGGTTACTCTTGCAATTTTGAAGTCTTTGGGTACTTTTCCCTGTTTTATGGAGAGGTTAATTATGTGAGCTATGACTGGTGAGATGGCGGTTGCTGTGTCTCTGAGGAATTTGGAGGGGATATTGTCGTGGCCAGTGGCCTTGTTAGGTTGGAGGGCGCTCAGTTTAATGAGTACCTCTGCTGTTGTTACCCTTGCTAGACTGAAATCATCTTTGCGTACCCCTAGGTTTTTGTAGTAGGTCATGATGTGATCTACTCCAAAAAGCCCTGAGTGGGAGGGTAATTTATTTACAAGAGTTGTGGCTATGTTTGTGAACATTTTTTTAAAGTACTTGGCCACATCCAGTTTGTCTGTGATGAGCCTGTTATCTGTCTTTATGTTTAAGTTAGAAAATCTCGTTTTTAGTTTTTTACTGCAGCCAAGCTGGTTATTGAGTAATTTCCAAAGTTCACGGGTTTATTTTTGTTTTCCTCAGTTTTGACATTGATGAAATTCTTTTTGGCAGTTTTGATCATGGAGCTTACGTCATTTCTTAGTCTGTTTCTTTCAATTTTGAGTTCAGTCACGTGGGCCTGGAGTTCACTGCTCGTGCTTTTGGAAAGCATTGACTGACTTTTATGAAACTCAGAGCATTTTTTGTCTCTGGTTTTCATGGCGGTCAGTATGCCGGAGTGCATCCACGGCTCAGCGCGATTTTTTACCCTGGTTGTTCTTAGGGGAGCCAAATCATTGAGTATTGCAGAGAATTTGTTTTTGAAACCAAGCCATGTTTCTTCAACTTGTGTACCACTGAGCTCATCTGACCAGTCCAGGCTCTCCAGTTCTAGGTTAAAGGCCTCGCTAGAGTAGTTTTTGAGGTCTCTAGATATGACTGTTTTGTGACAGCCGGCCCTTTGTTTTAGCTTTTTGCGGGTACAGAATATCATATAATGATCACTTAAACCGCATGCTATAACCCCTTTACTGGAGATCCTGGAGTTGTCAGAGGTCAGAATGAGATCAATGGTAGTTTGTGTTGTTTCACATACCCGGGTGGGTTGGGTGATTAGCTGGCTGAAGCCGTGCAGATCACAAATCCTACTGAAGGACTTGAAGACGGACGTGTCTTTACGTTGCATATCCGTGTTCCAGTCTCCAATAATAATTGTCTCTACATCCCCCACATCAGCCAAACACCCATCTAATGTATCATAAAAGTCACTCTGTTCCGGTGGTCTATAGATTGTCCCGACTATTACAGATTTAGCATTGTCAAAAATAATTTCAACCCACAGATTCAATATTTTCATGATGCAGGTCAGTACGGTTTTTGAAATTGGTGTCTTTATGTATGTACATGCAGACACCACCTCCATTCACGTTCCTGTCCTTTTCCGATGTTAGTTTTACAATCTTTTGAATCTCTTGGTCAGTTAAACATTCCCTAATAATAGTATTGAAGTGTAAATAAGTGAGGGTTAAAGACAGTGTGTTTAGTGTGCAACACCACGTGGCATTTCTCCTTAAATTCACGTACAAAACATACCATTAGCTACATGCTAATGCTACCAAAACCGTCTGAACAAACAGGAAGTCGAGTGTGTCGATAATGCCGTGAGCATCCGGTTACAGAATAAAACAGTGTTATTAATTTTACGTTACGCCATATGAATATTGATTTTATTCCTTACACATGTCTCGAAAGATCATTTAAAGTTGTATTCTTTCTATTAGTTTCTGTCATGTCCTTTTGTCCTGAGCCTTCCTGTTATATTTTGATAAGTAATTCTCCCTCTCGTTTCAGGTGCTGTGCTCCCTGCGTTTGTGATTGTCTACCCCGCCCTGATTGTTTCCACCTGTGCCCCTTACCTTGTGTGTGTATATGTTGTCCTCGTCTCCCCCTGTCCTGTGCCAGTTCGTCTTCTCTCGTGATTCTGACTACCAGTGAACCTTCAAGCCTGATGTTTGTTGTTTTCTCTGAAGCGCCTTCTCTATGTTTATATCGGTTTTTTTCTCGGAAGAGTGATTTTGTTTTTCCAGCGTTTGATTTTTTTGTTCAACACTTTGCTAATGTGCAACTCCAGTAAAATACCTTGTTTTGAAAACCTTCTGAGTCCGAGTTGTGCATTTGGGTTCATGCCTCTGACAGGGTATCTACACATTTTTTAAGTACAAATGTAATGACTTTTAAGACCTTTTTAAGACCTCTAAAAGGAAAAAATACCAATAAAAAAAGATTGATGAACTAAACAACAGTATAAACCGTTACTGAGTTTCATTGCATTTGAATAACGGGAAATATTCAGTGCACATTACCCAACATGAATGCCTTGGCAGTAGAACAATTGAAACCAATTTGCCCCCCTACACACTCGTTCATTCTGCCCCAGATACAATGTAATACCTCCCCTCCTAAAACTCCAGACCTTTTTAGACATGTTTAGACCTTGAATATCAAAAAATAAATGTAAGACTCTTTAAGGATCCCAGGGACCCTGCTCTGAGTTCGCCCGTTGACATCAAGGCCAAGGCTAGTATCCACTAGTATCGCCAGGAAAGTGACAAATCTGACAATAAAATCCAGTTTCTCATTAGACGATACTTTGGACAGCAGGATGGTTTACCTGCAATGGCAATATTCAGTTTATGTAAAAGATCCTTTTGAGTTATTTTATGGGAAGTGAAGGATTTAGGTGTTTTTAAGTTTGACTGTAAGTGACTTGATGATATTACACAAAAATACCCCTTGTCCTGCTCTACCAATTGAATCCATCCCTCAAAAGTTAACCAACTTTATTATAATGCCATAATAAACTGCTGAAATACCCCTTTGAAAATAGCGTAGCAGAATGCGTGGATAAGAAATACATGGTGGTGGTTGAATTTTTTTAACTTTGAATCCTATCAACAATTGGCAATCAGTATTTAACAAAAATGTTCATACCTTATTAACCAATTAAAGCTTTATTTTCCTAACAACACCATATCTAAGATATGCTGATGATGCTATATGCATAATAATATATGCCAAAATGACTGTTACTCTTGCTTATTCGACTTAGATCCGAGAAAAATGTCTGGGGACTTGTTTATAGCTTAATTTTCTGTTGGGGGTTAGGCGATTACTTTCCTTAATACTCAAAACTTCCATTGTCTTCACTCCTGGTATCATGCTAATTAAAACAACCCCTCCCTGGGATGGAGGTGTCTCTGTTTGAGTAACTGGTGGAGCATAAATCACTCAACATCTGTTGGTGAGAAAGACTTTGTTTCCCCCTGCTCAGCGAACAACATGTGCTTATTGAAGCTTGACAGCAGATCAAAGTTGTTAGGCAAATGAAAATACTTATTTATGTACCGACTAAACCCTTAAACACATTGAGAACAATTGTGCCTTTTTATTGAACAAAGTCGTACTGCAAATAACATTGCAATGACAACTAACCTTTAAAAGTGATTTAAGTAAATACATGACAAGCTGTGCACAGTGCATGCTGAAATGTAAGCCTGCAACCTTTTGAAAGAACCTCATTTAAAATGCAAACCAAATCTCTGACAAGCAACACACCGGAAAATGTCCGAGCATTATAATCAACTAATTTCATTTTAATGTCGGCCTCCTTTTTGAGCTGGAATTAAACTCCACTCTGAAGTCATTGCCATCCCTAATTCTTTCTTGGCGTTCCTCCATTATCTTTTTTTGTGGAATGGTTTGATATAAAAGGTTATCACAGAGCCACTTATGACAAACACATTGCTGTGAGAGAGACGCTATTTGCTTCACTTTGATGTCCCTGCGGTTTACTCACCGTGACACCAGTCTGTTTTTTAAAAACCCCTCCAAATACGATTTGAATAACAGTGTTTTCCGTTTACAGCCCTTTTTGCTTTTATTGAATAGATGTTGAAATTCCTTTTGAGAAAAAGTTTAAAAAAAAACACAACAGTCACGTTGAGATGAAAACAGGATCGACTGACAGAAACATCAACATGTGATATACATTGAAGGTTTTGTTGCACATATATTTCTCTAACGAATGCCATGCAATTGGATCCTTCTGACAAGTCAGGGATCCCAAACCAGAAATACACCGTACGTCACTACCTCTGCTTTCATGTATTGTTTTTTCCTCAGGAGCAGCAGCCCGTTTGAATGCAGAAACACAAGACGATGAAAAATTATATGAAATCACTTTATTCTCAGAGTGTGCGGTGATTCCACTTTTGCAGGAAAGTTACAGACTGAAATATCTGTCTAAACGGCATGCAGTGAGGCTTACAGGTGGAGCTTTGAAACACAGAGAAGACACAAAACGATCATCAACGACCTTGCCTACATCGCACACCATAAGCATGCATACATTTTGTCAACAAATAGGGAGGGTGGGAGAGAGGGAGGGAGAAGGGTGAGAAGATGTTCGCAGTTCAAAAAGAATTCACCAACTCAAATGATCTTTATACAAAAATAACAACCACCAGAGGACGGAAACAGGACCGGTTACAGACAAGGAAAAGGAAAAATACTTCACAAGAGTAAGCATCTTCTTAACACGTACAAAACAGAGAAAGACAGATGCAAGGAGAGAGAAACATCAGACAGTTACATTCAAGTCACATCAAAGGAGTAATTTTTTCATATATTACAGGCAGTTTTTAATTATATTAATGGCTGTATGAGCGGCACAAACAAACATTGATGTGGATTTCTGACACTGGACGACTACATATTGATCACGCATGACTTGGGCAGTTGATTTGGGATGTATAAGCCATTAAGAGCGCAATCAATTGGCATTTACAAGGTTTGTGATGGCGTAGGTGTATGAGATGCAACGTGTGAGCTAACTTCAAAGCACACCAGTTTGGAAAAGACTCTTTGGTGGCCTGAAGAAATGCACACTGATAATGTTAAACGTTGTGTCACTTGGAAAGTCCTCTACTTGGGTTAACTGGGCAGTTATCTTAGCTTTCTGGAATATTCTCGGGTCAAACAAAAGAGAGATCATTCATAAATAAACGGTTTGTGTAGGCTTGTGAAACCCCTGGCAATGAAATTAGAGTTCAAGGCTAATTATGCTAACAGAAGGCTAGTCATGGTTATGTCTATGCTAAAGTACCTGAGAATTAAACAAAAATAAATAAAATGCAACCTCTTGACTAAATCTACTACTACCAGTACTATTCTTTGGTTTGATTGGAGAACTGCTCTGATAATGGGAATGTGGTTGATGTTTGATTTCAAAACCGCTAACAACAATCGGGCACCAACTAGCTGCTAACGCACTGAACGGATGCTAGCAAAGGCAGTTTACAAGTACAATAAAATCACAAGAAGTTCAATAAATGTGCCGTATAGGAGACCTTGGATGTTTTTTTTATATTTTCAACACGATTACAGAGATCACAAAGCGTTAAAAAAAGCTACGTTTCCCTCGTCTATGCCACAGGAATGCACAAGTTCAGTGTTATGTTTAGCTTGCTGAATAAAAACAGTGATAATGTGGCAAAAAAGCTGATTTATAAAACCTTAAATCACGGCTACTGTGCTCATGTGAATCACAAAAGCATTTTCTAATAAAGTTGTTCCACAAAACTGATCTCTGCTAATAGCACATTTACGCTTTCCCTTAAACTTCAAGTGGGATTGTTTTTCTGTACGTTGCGGCTTGACTTGGTCGAGTCATGAATCTAATATTTGATTCATTCTAGTGACTATATTTCAGGTTATAACAACATCCATGTTTTTGTGTCATCATGATGTAGGCTAACCAAGGCATCGACTGGGGTCTACTGTAAATATCTGTGGTACCAGAACGAGTCTGGAGGAATGTCAGAAATATCTGGAATGTTTTAACAAGACACCGTGGAATGAAGGATAAATAAAAAACAAGGCAAATGGATAAACATTTTCATTTTATCCCCCCTTTAAATGTGTGCCATTTATCAGCAGGACAGACTGGACTTAGGTACTGTAAACATTTTCTATTGTACGGTCATGACGCTTTCTTGCAAAAGTTTTCTTTATAAAGCCCCTCGTTATTTCATCTAAAGTATTTTTTGTGTATTGTTTATTTCTGCCTGAGTGGCACAGATCCTGCTTGTGTTCAGCATTCTTTAATATGTGACTAAACATTTTTTTTACGACACGAAACAAATCATCCCACCTTCCCCCCATTCTCTTTTTTAATCAAATATGTCAACTCTAAAAGGCTTTACGGCCCGTCCACACTACAGCTTCAAAAAAAGCTTGGAGCTGGGCGTGTCTGAAGCTCGACCAACAACCATTCACATGAATCTCCCGCCCCTGACACACAAGCAGCGGTTTGATTGGCTAGAGCTTGTACTGGCATATGATTTGATTGGCTGACGCTTCCACCGAAAGCTTCAGAAGCTTCAAAAGTTGAACATTGCTCAACTTTTGCAGCCTGAAACGCCAGGAAAGCTCCGCTCTGCTTCCCACAATGCAGTTCGGCGAAAAGTGACGTCACCCCATTCAAAGTGAATGGGCAGACGCGTTGGAAACCGTTTTTGAAGCTGTCGAAGCTGTAGTGTGGACGGGCCGTCACTGTCACTATGCAGACACGTTAGTGCCTTTTAATGCCAACGAACACATTTAGAAGTAATTTTAAAACACACAACAATGAAGATTGTCTGTCATTGCTGATTTGGGACACGAATCCCATCAGTTCAACTAACGGACACAGCACAACTTCATCATTTCGAACGATATATTGCACTATTGTCACTGTCTGTTCACATATAGTGTGTTCACAACGTAGTTTGTGAAATTTCTTCTTTTACAAAAATTGATGGAAATGTCAACAAAATTAAATGAAAAAGCCTGGTTTAAGACGTACACGTCCTACTGCAGAAGCAGAGCGAGCCACGGGACATTAAAAACACAAACAAGTGCATTTATAATTTTCCTCACTGCTTTGAGACAAACATCATGTATGGAGAACATTTATAGTTTTTCCCATGGAAGAACATTTCAGAGTCAATTATCGCCTCCTGTACATGGTGGATGAGATGTCAATTGAATAACAATGGAAAACCAGTTATTGCCTCAAATATCAATGTATTTCACTTCATTAAAACAAATGAAATGGTATCCAAATGTGTACTTTACTTCACAAAAGTTGACTGCATGCTTAAACAAAAAATAACCAAAAGAAAAAAGTCTCATATCAAATGAATTCCTTCACTTTCTGCGTTTACACGTGTTGTTTGCAGTGTACCACATTCACGATACACCTTGGACAGTATATGGGGTGAATCCTCACAACGGAGAACTAATAAAAATGTATTTATATACACTATATGTATCAAATATTAGCAAGAACAACAGAACAGGAAAATTCAATCAAATTTTGATATGATTTGGATAATTTCTTAAAAGTTAAAAATATGGCTTATACTCTTAGTGATCTTGTTATGTCATATTTCACTCATATATAATTCTCTTTTTTATAACCCGAGGCTATTTACAAACAAAAAGGGTGGATGATGGGTGATATCTGATCTTGTTTTGAAGTGCCTGACATTTTGAAAACATGGCAGAAGATTTCCCTTGAGTTAAAAAATCTCTGTAGGTGTTACATTCTCCTAATACAGTAACGATGACATTCAAAAGCATATATCACCATCCGAGATCAGCTATTTAAAATCAAGGGTAAACTAATGCTATGTTCTCATTTACAGGACACTTAAAATTGAAAGGGTGGAGAAGTGACTGCAGATTTTGAGCGGGGCAGGGATACGGCAGTTGTGTTGTGAACATTTGTTATCACATTTCCACCAAAACACTGTTACTTCTTATTGAACATATCCATGAGCGGGGTCGGGATGAATTTCATGACCGTGTCCACGATGCTCTCCTCTTCCTCTTCGTCTCCGCAGCCGGTCGGCACCGCCTTTTTCGGGCGGGTGAGGCTGCCCTCGGACGCCTGCTCCATCGCAGCCGCTGCCTCCGCCTCCTTCTCCTCCTTCTTCTTGATGCCATACTGCGTGGAAAAAGGGACCAAGAAAAACAATCAGCGATGTAAAGCCAAGCCCCCAGGAAGTGCGCCGGACTGTGAGGAAAATATTCGTAGTGGCCAAACAGCGGTACTACATTTTCCGTATCAGTCCGTGACGTCACTGGGCCCAGAAATACTTTTTCCCATTGACTAACATTGGAAAAGAGACGTCTGTAAGTCAGCGGATAATTTTTTTTTAACTGAATTAACTACCCAACACGAGCACTTTTATAACCTTTAAAAGAATCATTAGGTCCTTAAAGTTGTAAAATGCACTAAAAGCTGAATCCAGATGTATTTTCTCTCCATTCATTCTGCTGAGCCAAGAGCGGGAGGCGGGGCTTAAGGGGAAACTCAACGATCCCACGCTGTATCCAGTTCTTATTATACATCCATGTGTAAAGCCCATTAAAGTAAAGGATTATTTGTTTTCTTATTACACATCTGAGTTAAATACTTGATTCTGAGGTTGCTGCGCTAACAGACCGTTGCTAAGGAGGATCAAGGGACTTTGTGAAGCCATGACAATCTACATAAAGAAGTCAGCTGTGGACCACTAACATTAGTTTTCCTCAGAAAACAAAGTGGAATATTATTTTTTAAAATATATTTGTGGAGAGCTGGAGACTTTGGATTCATGATGGCTAAACTGTCCCCAGTAAAGAAAAGACAAAGAAAATGGTTGAAAGACAGAGTGCTGGACATCAGAGAAGACAAACAAGAAGTAAACACTAAAGGGAATACTGTATGGGCTCCGTGTTTAAAGACTTATCATTCCTGATCACATGTAGATGTTTCTTTTTTTAATTAAAGACTGGCTTGCTGCACATCCCTAACTTAACTGAAACTAATGCACCAACACTTATGATGGTATAGCTTCTTTTTAAGAGGATGCACCTGCAGGTTTCTTGCTGTTTGTAATTGCACTCATTAAGTCGCTTTGGATAAAAGCGTCAGCTAACTTGAATGTAATACCATTTCTTTCTGAACTATTCAAATTGAGGATGCAAGCTTTGGCAGCAGTAGAGGTGAGTACGGCAGCATTGGTGTAGCAGGGCTCAATGAGGAGGAAGTCATATTTAAACGGACCTACTTATCGAGAGAATGGCCGTGATTGGTGTCCGACTGTTTCAAAACAATGATGCAATCAGCTGACTTTCTATAACCTGAGTGTATGACTTCTGTGTCCTATATGAACGACTGTAATGCTTCATTTAACTGAACGCTTTAATGCTACGTTATTTCCCTGGAGCCACAAGACTCTTAAGTCGTCCTCCTCCTCCCTTAAACCACCTTAACCTTGCAACTCTGAAATTAACTTAAAAGTTTTAATTTCTTTCTCTTGGGGATTCTTTGAGGAGTTAGATGCCATGACAAAAATATGATTTCCTTACAAACCAAAGCTTCTTGATTTCTATGTTTAGACTACGGCAACAACTTCAACAACAGGAAGTCTCGTGCTTCTTAACTGCTTAAAATGCAGATGAGGTTTGATATGATCATTTCATGAATGCTTAATTAGTTGAAAGTGATTGGTACACCTGAAAAATATTTCTTAATTTGCATGAATTAGCTACCCGGCTTCTTCCTCATTAAGTTTTATCACGGTCTACTGTAGCTGTTTGGGTCCTGAAGAGCAGCAGTTACAATCCATTCCTGCAATTAGATGCAGAGCTGTCGCTGAAGAGACATTTGTTTTTTTGTTCATGGGAGTCTTTACTGCTCCTTGGTCCAATTTGACCCTTTCATGATGTTTTATGTTCCAATTACAGGGAGAGGCACACCACACATTTTAATGGACAATGCTAACGATTAGCGCACAGACCCCTGAGCCCCAACAGACTTCCATTAAATCAAGAGTGTGTTGAGAGGAAAAAGAGCACAAAATTACAATTTCCCAACCAAAAAAACAAGACAATAACAGCGGGGAAATGTGTTCACCAGCGCCTTCATTGTTTCATCTCTCTGCAATACTCAGGAAATGGAAAAAACAGCTTCAACTAAAAACTTAAAAACGAGTGAGCGCTAATGGTTTTTCATTAAAACGATATCACTCTGTTGGCACCATAGATTAAACATATTACTTTTCCTGCATGTTTCTCCTAGCAAACTAAGCCACATGTAAATCCACAATAAATACATTTCCACATTAAATATTTCCTTGTTTTTAAATAGAGGCGAAGTCCCGCCCATCTACTTCCGACCCATGGGACCTTATTTCAGAAAAAATATGTATTGAAGTCAATGGAGAGAGAAGGATTATCTTTCGATCCCGTTTGAATTGTGCCATGAATTACACGAATAATGTTTGTCAATTTAAAAGATAATTTCCATGTCAAAAAAGTCACAGTTTGTCGTAAAACTGTTGAAATATAAGACTATGAAAAATACGCAACTAGAAAGACTACAAATCCCAGAATCCCAATCCCGCATGCTGGCTCTTACGTAACCGACTAACTCCCCTTGTGTGTATGTACAGCTCTCAACATGCCCAGACTTGGAGTGATTTTTACCTCGTTTAATACTTTTCGCCTCATTCTGAAAGAAAGAAGTGAAATGTGCCAACGTGACGGCCGTCTTGGTGCGAGACCAGAGTTGTAGTTCATTGAGCGTTTCACACAAAAAACGTGTTACTTCACAGTTTTACGACTTGTAAAATTATCTTTTAAATTGACAAACATCATATGTGTAATTCGTGGCATAATTCAAACGGGATCGAAAGATAATCTTTCTCTCCCCATTGACTTCAACACATAATTTTTCCGAAATAAGGTCCCATGGAGGTCCCCTGGAGAGGGAGGGACCTCGGCACTCAAAAGCCCAACATTAGCCGCCTTTAGCTTAGCGGTGGTGACGTGAAGTCATGTGACCGTGCTGTAGTTCCTTTATAGCCCAACATTAGCCACCTTTAGCTTAGCGGTGGTGACGTGAAGTCATGTGACCGTGCTGTAGTTCCTTTATAGCCCAACATTAGCCGCCTTTAGCTTTACGGTGGTGACGTGAAGTCATGTGACCATGCTGTAGTTCCTTTATAGCCCAACATTAGCCGCCTTTAGCTTAGCGGTGGTGATGTGAAGTCATGTGACCTTGCTGTAGTTCCTTTATAGCCCAACATTAGCCGCCTTTAGCTTAGCGGTAGCGACGTGAAGTCATGTGACCTTGCTGTAGTTCCTTTATAGCCCAACATTAGCCGCCTTTAGCTTAGCGGTGGTGATGTGAAGTCATGTGACCTTGCTGTAGTTCCTTTATAGCCCAACATTAGCCGCCTTTAGCTTAGCGGTAGCGACGTGAAGTCATGTGACCTTGCTGTAGTTCCTTTATAGCCCAACATTAGCCGCCTTTAGCTTTACGGTGGTGACGTGAAGTCATGTGACCGGGCTGTAGTTCCTTTATAGCCCAACATTAGCCACCGGAAAGGGAGGGACTTCGCCTCTCTATAAGCCATCTTCTTGACAGTTGAGCAAACTCCATTTTGCCGTTAAAGCCCATTGGGTGCAATTTAATTCTTGGATTGGACCTCGAATATAGAATGACTTTAGAATTTTAATGATTTTAATTTTGTCTGGACAGGCAGAGACACTTAACCACTAATGATCAATATCTGTTTGAACATTGCTTGCTTTATTAAAAATAAATATTTTATGAATCTTGAACTCTGTGGTTGTCCATGGTATGGTGCTGTGTTCATTTGAGAGCCTGGAGGCGGAGTCAGGTTAAAAACGATATCACTCTGTTGGCACCATAGATTAAGCATATTATTTTTCTGTATATTTCTATTAGCAAACTAAGCCACATGTCCAGGTAAATCCACAATAAATACATTTCCCCATAAATGATTTCCTTGTTTTTATCTAAACCATCTTCTTGACAGCTGAGCATTTTGTTATTTGTGACCAGTTTTGAGGTTGTAAATAAATTATTATTTTTGGCAACCTTTGTTGAAACTTCCTTTCCTTTTGTTTCAAGAAGGAGCCAGCTTGTAACGACCTGAACAGATGGAAACAGGATGATATTATTCCCTTACTTCAAGCGAATTGGAAGTTGTAATATCTAGTTTGCTTTTGTTTAGATTCTAGATTCAAGGCTTTTATTGTCATTTGTACACAGCTACAGTGTAGTTATGAAAATGAACGTCTTAGGTCACAGGCTCCTCCAACAGTGCAACAGTATGTTTAACAGTCTTATAGCCGGTGGGATGAAACTGTCCCTGAGTCTGGTGGTTTTTAGATGTAATGGTTCTGTGTCCAACACCTTAAGTATAGTTTGTGCACGCTTGGTCTTAGTCTGAGTGAAATCAATAGAGTTGCACTGTAGCGGAGCACAGGAAGGTCAGCAGGTGGAGGACGGCTGATCTTGAGGCAGAGATGTGGAAAATGAGCTGGACTCCTCCCTGACCTCGCTGCTGCTCTCACACGGAAACCTTAATGGGATCCTGGAGCAAGACATATCTTAAAGTGTCTTTTCCCGCTGTGAAGGGTGTTTGGGGGCAGTATGAGCATCTGTGTGTTTTCAGAGTGGAGCACTGGAGGAAGGTTTGCCAAATGTGTTGATTCAAGTCTGCATCCAGGTCAGAAATATCTCATGTCAAGGGAAAATCATCCTTCTGTCAAGATGCTTCTAAGAAATGTCTCCAAGTAAGATAGGTCAAAGCAAGCTGACGAATAACAGCAGCTCATTTGTGGTTTGAAAGCCCCTTTAAATCTGTTTTAGTATTTTCCTCAACACTGAATAACAAGCGTTCATCGTGCAGACGGTGAGACCGTTTGGGGTTAGTCCTTCACCCCCTATTGGCTAATAAGATGCTGCTTTCTGACACTTGGTCTTAAATTGCCTCCTCAAGAATAATGTATCAGCAATGAAGGCAAAGCCAGGTCAGGATATAAGACTTAAATCAATGCAGGCAGCATTCGATCTGCAGGAAGCCGCAGTTCTATCTCTGATCGTAATCCAGGGCATTTTATGGCTGCTATAAACGCAGACCAGTTGAACGAATTCCCAGTACATTAATTATTTTATCTCCATGCTTATACTTCAGCTATGGCTATCATACATGCCTCTCCTTTTCAATCATTTTTAAGTTAACATGCGCTGTTCCTATCTGTAAACTACTGATTTTATTCGACTGATTTTTCAGGATCAGAATACCTTATTTATCCTAGGGGAAATCTGGGTTTTTGGACAGTTGATCGATTTTAAAATAATACTTAAAAAAGAATAGAATTCAATAAAATATGGAAAAATTATGAATGTAGGAATTAGAAATAAAAGTAAAAAACTTAAAGTTAGATAAAATAGAACAATTACGTTCCACATTTAAAAATATAAAACACAAACATTAGAATGTGTACATTAAAATATATAAAGTGGTGTTTTCATATTAATAAAGATATAATGGCTTAATACCAGATTATTGCTGGAAATATACAGTAACAATGGTTTTTACACGTGCATTTGAATCTTTTTGCAGATTATTATTCCATCATTGAGACGATTATAATCCATCCATGTTTGGAATCATTCCTGTAAAAACATCATCATTAGAAACTTCACATCTTTGCAATTTGACTCGTAACTTCAACATCAGACAGAACAGAGATGTGTGTTGTGATTGTTTGATGGATATCTCTGTATCTCCTTCTGCTCCCTGTTTGTTCTCTGATTTCCCAGCATGCCGCTCTGTTTCGTTCTCTTGCAATCTGTCTTGGTCAGTCTTCCTCTCACACTCGTTCCTCAGTAACAAACGCGTGCAACACTTGAAGGGAGGATAGTCACGCTTAGTCAGCCTCTCTCCCTGTAATCAAACACTTCCCAAAGACATGCTGTCACACTGCTCCATCCCCATCATCTGTTTTATTTCACTGTCGCTTCAAAAAGATTCCCTGGTCATCAGTTTGAGGATCAGCTCTGTATTCAGAAGGGGCTACACATGGAAAACTTAGTTTGAAAAGCCCTCAAAGTGTGCAAGTCAAATATTCGTGATGTCAAGAGCAATATTTGACCGCAGGCTGCAGGGGCTTTGATGCCATCAGTCAACATTTTATTACGGATGAATTAATCAGCACGCAGGAATTTATCAAAGAAAAGAAAGTCTTGGCGAAATAAAAAAGGGTCAGCCAGACGAAATCTCTGTGATAAGTTTTGGACAGAATTTCATCCGATAACTGAACTGCATACAGAACCAGTCTGCAATGGTTTAGAGCTGACTGGATACATGACAAAGGGGAATTATCTGATGTAAGATAGTTCACTTTTTCCTTAAACATAGCAAACCAATGTCTTATCAATGAGTGTTTATATGTAACTATATATTGGCCAATTAATTTCGGATAAAACATGTGATAGAGAAAGTGAGGTTCTTCTGGTTATCCAAATAAACTTCAAACTTTTGTCAGGATCCCTTGGTGTCACATGTCAAACCACTGGGTAGACATACACCTTAAACTATGATTATTGACTATTGCCGCAGTAAGCAAGTGATTAAGGAGGTCAAATTCAAACAAAATTGGTTAGGTTAAGTTAAATGTTCTGGTTTTGGTTAATATGTACATTTGACGAAGAGTTTTGGTTTACAGGGAACACAAAAAGTCAGGTTTGTTTGACAAATCAATCGAACTTCTTCGGACTTCTCGCTCCTTATTATTCATCTCCTGATTCTGGAGCAAAAGCCCAGTGCTTCTACATAGACGTAATACAAACTCTTACGGTTGCCTTGTGCATCAGTATTCGGGCCATGACAAAACGTTGGTATATGAATCCCAGGAAATCACACCGGGCTTTTCCAAAAGGGAACAGGAAGCCAGAGAAATCGACCTCTCTCCATGGCGGTGTAGGTGAAGAAGTCAATGTCCTTCTTACTTTTAACATCACTATACCATCACTATTTGTTAAGACCTTGAAGCAAGCTGCTGTGTCTGTAAATGCTTTGGCTAAACTTGGTGTATGACTGTGTGTTTTAAAATTGTCTGTAACTGTGCTGTTTCCATTCTTGGGCCAGGACTCTTTTATCTCAATGAGACCTATCCTGGTTAAATCAAGGTAGACGAAGACTGTTTCAGACGCTGCCCGAAGACTCACAAAAGCAAAACAACGATGTTATCTCTGTTGAATTGTAACCATGGTTAGCTGTATGGAGGTATTTGTCCTTACCTTATCTCTGATCCCCTGTCGGATGTTTTCTCTCTCTGCCTCCATCTTTGCGTACTTGCCCTTCCTCTCGTCCTCCTGTTGCCTCAGCGCTTCTTGCCTTTCTTCCTCTTTTTTCGCAGCGTCAGGATCCTTCTCCTCCCCCTCCCCACCGAGCATCTTGCCCATGTCTTTGGTGGCCCCTGACAGAGAAAGAGAAAGACAAGTTAGAAATGAAAGACATGTCAGGCAGAAATCCTCTAACAGGTGACACCTGATAGATCTCTGTTGCTAAGCATTTGCAGCACACGGTGGTACAGCGAAGATTTGGATAATTCAATAGACATGGCTTTGTATTTCAATCCTCTTTCAGGCCGGTGAAAGAGCAACACGATCTGTCCTCGGATGAACCAAAGTGTCTTTGTGCGACAATAGATGGAACAAGAGGTAAGCGCCACGAACATCAGCCCGGGATAAAAGACACCGCAATAAATTATTAGCAATTCTCTTGATTGCCTTTGTGCTGCTCACTTTGGCCTTTGCTATCTCCAACAGGAATTACCATCCTCATGTGAAGCGTCCACTCGGACTAAAGGTCAGAGCAGAGAACAAAAAGGCTTCAAGTGCTGTTGAAAGGTCCTCAATAATCAAACAATGGGCCAAACTCTGCTACTGATCTACGTCCACTGTCTGCACTTGTTAGATATGCTCAACAAGAGATCAAGCTATTTGATTTCATAAGTTAAGCTCGGTCGCCTCCATATAGGACATGAGGAAGGTTGCAGTCGCTCTCCCCTTCTCCTCTGGCTGCATGTGTGCATCATGTCTCTGTCTCTGTGTGAGGCCTGTGTTCTTGTGAATTGTTAGATGTGCTCCAGTGTATCTTTTTGTGTATTGGTTATTTTAGTTTGCGGTGCAAGTTGGCTGGTGAGCCCGTGTTCCTGTCTTGTTCATTAAACGACTTGTTCGTTACTCAGAGATCGGTTTTCTCTCCTTTCTTGTCGTGCTTGGTCATCCTTGTGTGTTGTTACTTCCCTTTGTACCCCCTAGATTTAGAAGGGAACGTAACACCACACAATACAGACTATTAGCAATAACCTTGCTATGTGCAGTATGTACTCTTTTGCTTCCTACTATTGTTATTCTGCTGCAACTTCACTCAGCAATAGTGCAATATCTGCGGTGGCTGACGGGTGCAAACGGTGACGGCCCGTCCACACTACAGCTTCAAAAAAGGCTTGGAGCTGGGCGTGTCTGAAGCTCGACCAACAACCAATCACATGAATCTCCCGCCCCTGACACACAAGCAGCGGTTTGATTGGCTAGAGCTTGTACTGGCATATGATTTGATTGGCTGACGCTTCCACCGAAAGCTTCAGAAGCTTCAGAAGTTGAACATTGCTCAACTTTTGCAGCCTGAAACGCCAGGAAAGCTCCGCTCTGCTTCCCACAATGCAGTTCGGCGAAAAGTGACGTCACCCCATTCAAAGTGAATGGGCAGACGCGTTGGAAACCGTTTTTGAAGCTGTCGAAGCTGTGGACGGGCCGTTACACCCCATTAGGGTAAACACGCTGCAGTTTCAAAAAAGAGGTGAATATTAAAACCCAAATGTGCTATAACAAAGGAAGAAACATCTTCTCCAACTTGACAACAATTGCGCAGAATTTTGAAAACATTCACTAAGTTGATGAAACATGCGCAGCGTTTACTAAAAGCAATGCATAAATGAAACGTTGAAAAATGTTTCTACCGTAATATCGACTAAATAGAAAATCGATGAGACCATGTAAGGGTTTCATGTTCTTGGAAATGGAAACCGACAAACACCTTACTGATGTTTTACCCCTTTGCACCTAAGCAAACGTTATTTACAATTTCAACTGCAAAGGCAAACATAATCAATCTCTTAAAATGTTAGTTTATATCAAGAACAAAAATCCCTGGAAACATAGGAATGAACTGTGGCGAAGCTGTCTCAGGCGCTACCGTCATACTGTATTTAAACTCCTTTCCTGTCAGTGTGGAGCATCTGGTGTGCATGAAATGACATGCTTCATATGTCAACACACAGCTGGTGCGTTCCTGCACTTTATCTCATGGGAAATGTAATGTATGTATAGTGCCAATCCTGGATCAATTAAATCCTCTGTGTGGAGGACGGCTGTACAGCCCATCTCATGCAGGAGTAAACCCTAACCCTCGGTCGGATTTTAAGATGTCTAAACTTAATCATGATGTACCCCAACATACTGTAACACGCATGCACAGATGTTGTTGGTGTGTCAACACAGTTTGAGCTGTCATAGAATCGGATAAAAACATTTGCTACCATTCACTTACAGTTACAAAAGAAAACAAAATCCACAGGGAGAAATAGGTTCCTTCAGAGTTAACATATTGTTTGTTTGTTTGGGATTTTTTAGCCTTTGCAGACCATTGACATACACAAAAACCTTTACAACACACTACAGGAAAATCCCAACAAAGCATTATAGGGTCTCTTTAATATAAATGCAGGTATTAGTCTTTTGAGTACAGCACCGTAGTTTAAATCAGCAAGTTGCACGAGTTAATCTCGAGTGTCATCCCGAGTGTTGAGCTGCTCCCGAAGTGCTTTTGAACGACACCTCTACACAGCTGTGTGCTCTCACCCCAGAGGCATTAGTTCTTCTCTCCAGCTCAGCGACTGGAATCATCCGGAGCTCAAACAGTGGCCCAACGAACCCTGAACCCACCACCCTCCACTCACTTCCCACTCGCTGTAGAGAAATTGATTTAAATGAGATCTGGACCTCCTGGAGCCCACTGGGCAAATTTGAAATAGTCTCTCCGTGCCTCGACTACAGCGAACTTCAGCGCCTCTGTCTGCTCCCCGTTGCTGTGCTGAGCCTCGCAGAATCTCTGGAGGAAAGACTCAAAGACACGGCCATCTGCTTCAGCCGTGAAATTGACGAGACAGCGGTGACTTTGAGGTTCTTGGCTGCAATCCGAACTTCCTGTGTTGACAGACCAGGACTAACCCCGGCCCTTAGTGACTGCTAATTAATAAAGAAATATGTTGATTTTTTTCTGTGTTTTCATTAACTCCTTAGTGTGTAGAAGACATGACCAGTTAACATGTTAAGAATGCATTACATTAAAGCTATGTGAATATAACATGGAAAACAATAAGTTGCAGGATATCTAAATAAAGAGTCTGTAGTTTATCTTTCCTTACTTTTCTCTTCAAAATCAAAGTACGGAGTAGTTTTGGCCGGTGTTTTCATCCTGTCTATCGTCTCCGTCTAAATGCTGCGCTCCACTTTTATTGCTTATAAATAATTGATGAAAGCTACTTTACCTGCTGTGAATAATTAATGAAGACTGTCTAAATATAAACGATGCTTTCATCTGTAGACATGGTGTCCTCATATCAACCCTGACCAGTCTCATCTATATACAAACAAATTGGAAACAACTTTTTTTCTCCATCTTCTTGTGAAGCCTGACCTCCTTGGAAGGGATGAAGATACATTGAGCTTTCATTTGTAACTCAGTTTCTCTGTACAAGCAGAACCGTATTGATTTACTCTCTTGCATTAACACTTATTATATGTGGGCGCCTCTGAATAGGAAGAGTGAGTAGATGTGTACCGGACTGATACATTTTTACAATAACTTTTTGCAAACCTACTTTCTTCGACTACAAATGAATCAGATAACTACAGTATCATTATTATTCTTGTAAAATACCAAAACAACTAAAGAAAATGGACGCTCCTGATTTGGAAACTTCAGCATGAGGGAAGCTAATGCTAACTGTCATAGACATTAACCAGTTCAAGAGGAAATACAGAGAAATTATTTTCTCGAGGGATGGTGTTTGACTATGTGCATGTGTATATGTGTGAGTATGTAGGTGTGTATATCTATGTGTGCATATATGTATATCAGTGTATGTATGTGTATGTATATGTATATATGTCAATCAACAGGTAAAGCAGATTAATAATGCATAAAAATGATAATTATTGCAGATTATAGAGTATAAATAAATCATTTAGGGACAAGGGGGTGAGATTAAATACGTTATACTTCTTCTCACTCCTTTTCGAACACTAGATGTGGCACTGTTTATGTTGCTAATGCTGTTGTTGGTGTAAATGTCATTTTTTGTTTTGATTTCTCTTACATGACTATGCACTGCAACATTTGTTTTGTAATTATTTATTTTACTTGTTTGAAATAAATGAATCAATCAACTGTCCCGAACCTACACTTGCTAATTTGATTAGCCTCATTGAAAAGATAATAGAAGAGACCCACCGCTATTCGACCATGCTTTGAACTGTCAAGTTTGAAACTTCACTGCAAGAAGTGGACTCAATAACTACTACTCTGAAGATCATCTGTGAAGAGCTACCTATGAGCATCGATAGAGACATGATAGAGTCCAACAGCCACCGCCAACAAATACAAGTAATGAGATCCCGGAGGAAACCGAGATGCCCCCATTTAGGGAGGTCCTTGTGTTATACAATATCACTCGACAACTTTTACAATATGTTAACCTTGTTGTCTATCTATGCTTTGACCCAGGCTGAATGGGTTGTAAAGCTTCCCTGTAGCTTTGTTGATGGAGATTTTCAAAATGCATGTAAAGCAATCTCAACAGAAGTAGACTCTGATGGATAATATCCCTCATCCCTCCGAGTAACACGTTATTCTTCTGGCCAGGGAGAACAGTTAAACAAGTTTGAAATTAAAAGTTGTTAACCTTTAGAGTCGGCGGATCCAAATGAAAAACGGTCCTCCATGATCACAAGAGAGTAGAAAGATATCTTACGGAGCTCAAACAAGATATGAGGCATGATCTAATGTCACCTTTTTATTAGAACTGCCACCGGTATTGAACTGTCTGCACAATAACAGGTACAAGTAGGATATTACATTACATTAATTTGACAATCGGTTTAATCTTGTTTCATTACAATTATAAAAAGAGAAGTATGTTCCGTGGAAATCATCCTTAATATCAGACGGATACACGTATTATCTCGAGGTCTACTGCTGATGATTTGTACCTCTTTGTGACTGATGCCGCTTTATCTCTTGTATTTCACATGTTGCAGTGTTTCTACAGAGCCTCCGCGTGACTAATCTCGATGCTCAGGGATAATTAGCTCGTCTGATTGTGACAAAGTTGCCGTGCAGGAGCGTGAG